GCGTCCGTGTACTTCCTGGCGGGCAGTGTCTGCCGTTCCCATAGAACTTGGCCTGGCAGTGGCAGCAGAACCCAGTGGCGTAGGGGGTGCAGAAGCCATGTGGGGAGCACTGGCCGTGGTTCCACGCGCAGGTCTCCGTGCTGGTGGCGTGGTACGTGAACCCTGCATCCAAAGCACAGGTTAGGACGGGGACAGGAACCGGGCCTTAGCACACCAGCTGCACCGCAAAGCTGGAGACACAGATAGAAACCTTCAGATCCCAAAGGGAACCTGATGCCATCGGCCGTCTCGGCTTGGGGTGGGAGAACACAGCCATCCCTTAAAGGCAGCACCATGCTACAGCCCTAGCGCAGACAAAACACTTACTGACTACAAAGGGAGCTTGGCCTGCACTAGGGAATCGATGTTCTCGCTAAGCTTTTCCATCCACATGCAGATTTTTCCACCTATGTGTGGAATAAATTTTGTTTTGTGCGCCGATGCAGGTGGAAATGTGCACCACCAGGAGAAACACAAACCTAGCTGTGGGTGCTCTGCTCATCAGTTGAGCGGCACTGGAATCTGTGCACAACTTACAGGGAACGCTGGCAGGGATGTAAAAGCATAACTGTTTAAGCGGTTAACCAAGAAGCTTCAACTTGTCGCTTTCCGTTATGGTTCCACGCCGGCTCCTGGGCAGTCGGCTGTGCTGGGCTCCGCAGCAGGACGCTCATATACACGCTTTATACCGCTGGGATTTGTAGCGGTTCCATTTTCAAAGGACAGTTCGCATCCCTAGCCGGCAGCAGGGCCCGAGTCTGACACGACTTGCCCACTGGTGAAAGCGAGATTGGCGCTCCACTGGTGAACAAGACACTAGGTGTCTTGTTTATCGATGCCTGGGTGGTTCCACTGTCCCCCAGTTCCACCCGGATGCCAGGCAGGTAGAAGTAGAAAAATCCATCCCAAGGGGAATTGACGGGGTACGGGAAAGCGGCAAACTCCATGCTACCAGGGGGTCTGCAGACAGCCAGTGCCCCCCACCCACGGGGGAACTCCCCCCTGCCGCGAGTGAGCGTGGGAAGGATTAAACCCAACGCGCTGGCTGCCCGTTCTCAAGGGGGCACATGGGTAGGGAGGTTAAATATCGATTAATTGAATAGTCGGTTAACCTCATGGACTCTTATCGCTTACTTGACTATTCTATAGTCCCGGGGGCAGCCAGCCACTCCCAAGGAGCCAGCAAAGGCAGCAGTGTGGGGTGCCAGGCCGGAGCTAGTCCACGAGGGGAGCCAGAATAAAGACCAGCTCCCCTCACGGACTGGCTGCCTGTTGCCTCCCGCTGCTGCCTCTGATACAGAGGCAGCAACATGAGGTGGCGGCCGCCCCTGTCCGGGGGGCGTGGGGGGGCAGGGAGGGGGCTGACCTCCCAGACCCAGCGCGAGCTAGTACTTAGCCGAGCTGCCTGCCCATGTGGCTCCTAATACAGTTTCAATGCAGCGCCGCAGCAGGGGTAGGTCCCAGACCCGGCGTGAGCCAGGCCTGCGCCAGGCTGCTGGCCACGTGGGGATCAAAGGGGTTTTAGCCCCTAACGCCTCAGCCCCGACCATACACTGCAGCCTGAATCCCTGCTGGGTCCTGAGTGGAGACAGTGGGACGTAGTGGGGGGCTGTCCACTCTGCTTTGGCAGACACTGGCTGCTGTGTCGTGCTGGGTGTGACCCCTACCGCCCAGTGCTGGTCTGCAGAGACTCTGGGTGTGTCTGTGTGCAGCGCCCGGGGGGCGGGCCCTGAGGGGAGGCGCACAGGCGGAGGCCCAGCCGCCTGGCACCTGGGCTAGGTGGAGGTCTCTGAACAAAGCGTGACCAGGTGCTGGGAGTGTGGGTTAGTCTCAGCTGGGTAGGGTGAGGAGAGCAGAGAGCAGGAAAGGGGGGTTCAGGGCCCATGAGCCCTTCCCCCCCCCAGAGGAAGGGGGCTGCCCACTCTCGGGGACTGTGCTCACATCGCTCCAATGCTGCGCCGCGTCTCCGAGAAGCAAGAAAACCTTCTGCTGGCTGGGGGCGAGCCCCATCTGGCTGCGGACGCGGGTGGGGGTCAGGGGCTCCCCGGCTCGCCCTCAGACAGCGAGCGCTGCCTCGCCCAGAGCCGACCGCAACCCCCTTCCCCATGGCCTCCCGTCAGCTGCGTGGCCCCAGCGCGGGGAGCTGCGGGAGTCCCCCGGAGAGGCAATGCCGTGGCGTCGGGTGCAGCGCCAGGCGGGGCGAGTCTGGCCCAGCGGCGCGTTGCCTAGCTGCAGAGGCGCAAGCGCGGTGGGGCCTTTGCCTGGCAACAAGCCCTGTTCTCAGCGGCTCGTTGCTGCAATGGCTGGACGGGTCCCTTGCCGGACTGCGTTGCCTTTCACCTTCCTGGGCGGCTTTTTATCCTGCCGGGCCGGGCCGGGCGCTTCCCCAGCAGCTGGTCAACATCACGCCTCAAGCTTCAGAAGGGCTCCCCTCCACCCCCTCTGCATAACAACTCCTCCATCTCCTTCCCCGCTCCTGGCCACACGGAGGAGCTTGCTGCTCCTGCCTGCGGGACAGACCTGCACAATGAAGCTCTCACCCAAAGACACCACCTCCCTCGGAGATGGCTCCACTCTGGGGGACGTGTTACCAGGCCTCCCTCCCATTTTTTCCCACCCGAGCGGAATGAATTCTCTGGTGTGCACCAGTGTGAAGGTGAACGTGACACACGGAAGGGGCGTGCAACATGGAGGGGGCGTGCGACACGGCGCCTTCGTATTGGTGCACATAATGAAATTCATGTGGCAGGAGGGGGGCCAAGAGGGAGAAGGCTCAGGCCTGGGGCAGAGGGCTGGGGTGCAAGTGTGAGGGCTCCATCTGAGGGTGCGGGCTCTAGGGTGGCCCGGGGCATGAGGGGTTTAGGTCCGGGGGACCTCCAGGTACAGGAAGCGGCTCAGGGTTGGTGGGCAGAAGGGGATCCAGGCTCACAGCTAGGGTGCTGGCTGCGGGGTGGGGCTGGGGATAAGGCCCGTGGGGTACAGTAGGGTGCTCAGAACTGGTGAGGGGAGGCTCAAAGTGGGGCAGGGGGTTGGGGCGCCTGTGCACTGCAACGTCAGAGCTCTCCGCACTGCAGCCCCGAGCCCCTGCACGAAGCTTAGAGGGAACTTAGCTTATTTCCTGCTCCCGCAACCTGCCCCTGCACGAAGGGCCGAGCGATCTGCCCCCGTTTCCAAAAGTCTCCAAAACGCTCTGCTCATCCCACCACCTCCACCTGGCCCTGGCGGAGCAGGGATTAAAGCGGCAAGGAGCGCAGCGTTCACTCTCCTCTGGATCATCTAACTCGCACAGGAGTCCGCACAGCTCCCCTGCCCACGGAGGCCGGGGGAGGGGGGGCCTCTCTCACACCCTTGTGGCAGGAAGTTAAAAAGGAAGACTTCCAAGCATTAGATGCATTTGGAAAATCTGGCCCCTTGGCAGTGGAGAAATCTCTCGTGCCCAAAGGGCCCCACCACTGCATTACGTATTATTCATAGCCCCCCACACACTATCGGGGAGCTCCCCGGTCTTCAGTGGAAGCCAACGTTAAATCCAGCTGGCTTCCAAGCAATCGATGCCCGTTGACACCGGTGACGGGGCTGGCTCGGTGGATCTTAATTTCATTCCCTTCCTAGTCCACCAAGAGGGCTTTAAATCTGCTCACTACCAAGGAACCCCCCAGCCGGAATTCAGTTCTGGTTCACAGACACTTACCCTCTGGGTTAAAGCTGCCATCTTCGTCCACCCCCACAACCTGCCTCCCACGGCTCAAGGGAGGGTAGTTTTCTGAGTGGCCCTGCAGCACGACCTCCCCCTCTGGGTAGGCTGGAAAGACGTCCCTCTCAGAGGGGACGGTGTCACCGTCTGGGTAGGGCTGGGCGTGGTCCTCCCCGGGCCTTGCGGCCAGCCCCTCGGTCGTTAGCTCCAGCAGGCGGTCGCTGGTCTCCAGTGAGGTTGGGCTTCCGACTCCCGTTTCCTGAGAGGATTCCACCTCGCCTTCCAAAGGAGGCACCTGGGACGGCCTCTCCTTCAGCCCGGGAGACGACGGGACAGATTTCACCTCAGGAAAGGCCGGGCGAGGGCTGGACACCGGAGCCGGCAGTGTGGACTCCAGCTCCGAAGCCAACCTAGTACCAGAGCGTCCTGGCTCGCCGTACGGCACCTCAGGCTCCGGCTCGGTCGGGTACTCGAGGTCGTCGTCTTCGTTCTCACTGTAAAACGGGTCGGGATAGTCGATATTCTCATCGGGGTAGTCCGCTTCCACGACGATCTGCTCCACGGCGGCGCTACCGAGCGTGCTCTCCGGAGGCTCCCAGGAACGCCCTTCGGAAGGCTTCTCGCCCACTCTAGCCGGCACGACATTGTCCAGCAGGGAGGTGCTGCCGATGTGGAAGGCCCATACGCCGGGAATCCCCGAGTTGCTTGTTCTAGATACAAATGACAAACACTAATGTCAGACTCCTCTTCGCAGCTGCTGACTGAGCACAGTGCCCCGTCCAGCCACTCCACTTGGGCTCAGTCGGGGATTTGCCTGAGAACAGACTGTAGAACGCAAGCTACAGGTCTAAATGCTCAGAAGTGGCTAGTGATTTGGGAGGCCTTGATTTTGGGGGGCCCAACCTGAAACACCTTAAAGGAGCCTGAATTTTAAGCAAGTGCTAACTACTCACCTTCTGAAGAACAAGCCCCTTTTGTAATACCTAGCCCCTGTCAACAGTCAATCTCCAAGTGCTTTACAAAGGAGGTCAGTGTCATTTATCCCCATTTCACAGACAGGAAAACTGAGGTACAGCAGGGCGAGTGGCTTGCCCAAGTTCATCCAGCAGGCCAGTGGCCAAGCAGAAATAGAGGCCAGCCCCCCAGAATGCAGTATTTGATCCACCACCCTGCCTCCCATAAGGGCCTCCGTTGGGGTCCCCCTCAATCGAAACCCCTCATCCCTTTTGAAAAGGTCAGCATTGATCTGTCTGGCAGAGGAGAGAGTCAATATTTTACTATGCAAGGAGGAAACGGGCAAGTGTAATGATTATAAAATCTCCTCTCCATTTTCACAGCTGTTTTTTTCATTCAATTGTACCAGCTAAACTCCTCCTGCTCTTAGGGCTGTAATGGTGCCTTGGGGCGGCGGGGCGGGGGGAGGAGGGGAGAGAAGAGGGGCGGGAGCTTCTTTAGAAACAGTTGCACTTTTATGTCCACATTTTCCGCATTTTTTTCCCCTTCTCTTGTTCTTTATTCCCGGGGTCAGCTGTGTGCATGAAAACAGCTGGGCCCGGAGAACAGCGAGCCTGTACAGAACAGCTGCCATTTCGCTAGCTCAACGGCTCTCATTGTTTGGAGGCAATCCTCGCTCTGCGCAGAGGGCCACGACGAGGCCTGTGTGCCACTAAAGCATCATCCAGGCCCAGGGTTGAAGACTGAACCGGAGTCCCGCCTCCGGGCCCGTGGGTGAATTTCAGCCCTACTAGAATCTTTGTCATGTCCCCAATCCAGCTTCACCACCCCCACAGCAGTTCCCATGTCTCTGGCTCCCTCACTTCCATAGCGATCATCCTGTGTCCTGATTAGGAGTGGGAAGGGTTAACCAGTTAGCTGGTAAGCGTCACCTGGTTCCGGTTAACCTGTAGGGGCTGGAGCCACACCCCGCCTGCAGGTTGCTTCAGCCCCACAGGGGGCCTGCTGGCAGGGGTGTCCGAAGCAACCTCTGTCTGCAGGGGGCCTGGGAGCCCCACAAGCAGAGGCTGCTTCAGGGGGGGCAGGGAGCCGGCAGAGACAGCCCCAGCACGGCGGAGGGAGGGGGATGGGGACAAGACCCCTCAGGCTGGGGGCTACTCCAGCTGAGCTGGAGCGGCTCCCAGCCCGGATCCTGCTTAGGCCACGTCTACACAGCTTCCCTCTTCTGCAAAGGCCTATGCAAATGAAGAGCAGATTAGCATATAACCAGGCTTCATTTGCGTAATTAATTAGGAGCCAGTTTTTGCACAAGAGGTTTTTGCCCAAGAGCCGTTCTTCCTCATTTTTTCAGGAAGAACGGCTCTTGTGCAAGAAGGGGTTTTTGTGCAAAAGCCTCTTGCGCAAAAACGGCTCCTCATTAATTATGCAAATGAAGCACGGCAATATGCTACTCCGCGCTTCGTTTGCGTAGGCTTTTGCGGAAGGGGGAAGCTGTGTAGACGTAGCCTTAGCTGGTTACACTGATTAACCAGGATTTTACGTCCCGAGGCGGGAGTCAGTTTACCTACCCACGCCCTGACAGGTGCTTGCTCTGCCTGTTCTTTAAAGCCTCCAGTGACAGGGTTTCCACAGCCTGCCTTGATAGCCTGTTCTAGTGCTTAACTAGCCTTGTACCTGGAAGGTTTTCCCTAAGTCTCCCCCGCTGCAACATACACTGATCAGTTCTTGTCCTACCCTCGGCAGGCACGGAGAACAAGCAACCACCGGCCTCTTCCTAGCCCCCTCTGACGCCCCGGCAGACAGCGACCAGGTCGCTCCAACAGCCTGACAAACCTGGACTGCGCGCTGCCTCTCCAGGAGCCCCGAGGAACATGGGACGAGAACAGGTGAAATCCCGGAAGGCTGAAACGTTAATCTCCCACTGTCTTCAGCAGAGCCAGGGCCGCCCCACCAGCATGTGGGCTCGAGCAGTGTCAATACACAACCCCTCCTGCCTGCTTGTTTTCACACTTTCCAGGTCTCGGTTCCCTCTTCGGTCCACCAGCCAGCCAGCTGATTCAGCTAGTCCGTGGCCCCCCAACTTCTTACTTCTCCTAGCGAGCCCGGTCCTCGCCCACCCTCCCCGGAGCGGCTCTGGGAGGAGGGGAACAGAGATGGGGTAAGGGGCCCGAGGCTGGGGCCACACCTGTGACACAGCCAAGGGCAGAGCCTAAGCCAGCAGCAGGGGCCAGCAGAGAACTGGGTGGCGCTTTCTCCACACACCCCCGGATGTTCTTCCGCACTCTCCTAGTGGGGCTTGCCCCACAGCCTGGGGACCTCCGAGCTAGCCCATGCTGCCTTGCACTAACGGGGCAAGTACACTGTAGGTAGCCACCAATCGGGGCAATGGGATCGGTCTGCGTTCCTGCAAACCAGGCTCCCAAAGCACTCGACTGCTTCCACAGGGGATGTTTTCCTGGAGCGAGACCTCTCTGCGTTTAGCGCCGACCGATTCGCCAGCAGGCATTCCCGCAGCACAGTCCCACGCAAGCGCCACGATCCCGGCCGCGCTACTTACTGGTAGAGATTTTTCACAGACTGCTCGCTGCTGGTGAGGGTGTAATACGGCCCCTCTCCCTTCAGGTGAGCCGTGTCGCCTCTGCTGAAGCCCACCCGGGCAGGCAGCTCTAGCTGGACGTTGTAAGACTCTTTGGGGCGAGTCCCAAAGAACTGAAGGCCGTCGGCGGGATAAAGGAAGAGGGCGTAGCTGTCCGAGTCATTGTAGGCTAAGACTGCCTGGAAGGTGTTCAGCTACAGAAGGAAAACAACGACGTCACGGATGGACGGGAGAGAGGCTGCTTGTTCATCTGAGAACGCTTGGATGTGTGACATAGTGGAGAGAAAGCCCTGGGCTGAGGGACACAAAACTGTCCTCCGCTACACGGGACTGGGGTTCGGCTGCGATCAATTAAAAGGAAGCATCCAAGGTGCGTGGAACTTTTGGGACCAGACTAGGTGACATCTTCTGTGATGCCAACTTGAGAGGTAGGAGTAACAGCTAGGATATCACAGGAGAAATATGCCCCCTTTGAAATTCTCTGGGAATTTGGCATCTCAGTCCCTTGAAATCCTTGGGGGGGGGGAAAAAAAATCACAGCCAGAAAACGTGTCAATAGCAAATCTCTCCTATCCTCTCTCTCCCGTAAGTCCAGCGTTAGAATTGTTACAAACCCCCACATCTGTTTCGCCGAAGAGGATATTACTCCAGCCAATGCCTTGGGAATCTAAGCAAGTAATTAAGTGTCACCATATTCCCTGTGTTGTGAAATGATCCATATGTTTGATACGTTCTGTGTGTTTAAAACAGGAAGGGGGGGGATCATCCCTCTAGTACTAGGGATGTAAGCAACTAGTTGACTAAGCTTATCAAATAGTCAACTAGTGATGCAACTAGTCGCTTCCCCCCCTTGCTGCCTCTCTTCTGAGAAGGAGGAAGAGGCTTCCCACATTCCCCTCGCACACCGGAGCTTGTGAGGAGGGGGGGGGCGGGGGGGGGGGGGGAGGAGGAGCCAGTGTTGGGGGGAGCCAGTTTAAAAGCTGGTTCCCCCCAGCACCATCTCCACAGAGGGCAGGGGAGGCAGAAGTACAGCAGGAAGCGGCACGAGCGGGGACTGAAACAAACAGCCTCCGCTTGCACCAGTTCTGCTGCGATTCTGCTTTTGAAATTTGGAGCCCTCTGGGGCTCCTGTACATTTCAAAAGCAGGATGGCAGCAGAACCGGTGTAAGCAGCTGGCCACCCCGCGCTCCCTGCAGCACTTGAGCCTCTGAAATGTACAAGAGCCCTGCTGGGACTCTTGTACATGTCAAAAGCAGACGCCCCGCAGGGAGTGTGGGGCCAGCAAAGGTGGAGGCGCCCTTGTAGACTAATCGAATAGTCGATGGAAATCCCATTGAGTATTCAATTAGTTAGTTCATCTAAATTGAACATCCCGACCTGATGCACACTCAAACTGAACGCAGCGACAGCAGTGAATTGTTTAATTCACTTTATTCAACAATATTGTATTATTGCTCCCTCCGAGGCGATGGAGTACGAGTCCTGCAGCAACAGTGCACGTTGCAGCACAACCCGATCGGACTTGCAGGGACCCGCTCCATCCTGTTACCGTTCTGCTCCTAGGAAACCGCTGGCAAACCCCATGAAAGGTCGTTTTTGATTCAGGAGGCGGGTAGTGAAATATCATATATAGAAAAAAAAATGTCTCTGGGGGATGGACGACAGAGCGATGTCCCGCCACTCGCCTCCGCCCTCGGTCACGTGGCCTCCTCTCCCCTAAGTCGGGCCTGGCCGTGGTACGTCTTCTAGGGGTAGCACTTATCGTTCCCGAATTCCGGGTCTGCTGCCCTTGGCCAGTTCCTGTCACCCATGGTGGAGCAGTCCTGGGGGCGGGGCTCCAGAATTTTGGTTGATGGCAGCAGCACTGTCACGTCTTGTTACCTACTCGTGGCCACCTCCCTCTTCGGTGCCAGGAACAAACACACACACACACACACCCCGTTTTTGCCGTTTTTCCGACAAAACTCTGTAGTATAGACATACCCTAAGGCTACGTCTAGACTGGCATGATTTTCCGGAAATGCTTTTAACGGAAAAGTTTTCCATTAAAAGCATTTTCGGAAAAGAGCGTCTAGATTGGCACGGACGCTTTTCCGCAAAAGTACTTTTTGCGGAAAAGCATCCATCCCAATCTAGACGCGCTTTTCCACAAAAAAGCCCCGATCGCCATTTTCGTGATCGGGTCTTTTTTGCGCAAAACAAAGCTGAGCTTTCTACACTGGCCCTTTTGCGCAAAAGTTTTGCGCAAAAGGACTTTTGCCTGAATGGGAGCAGCATAGTATTTCTGCAAAAACATTGACAATCTTACATGAGATCGTCAGTGCTTTTGCAGAAATTCAAGCGGCCAGTGTAGACAGCTGGCAAGTTTTTCCAGAAAAGTGGCTGATTTTCCGGAAAAACTGGCCAGTCTAGACACAGCCTAAGAGAAGAAATGTCAATGTTCTTCGAAAGAGAGAGAGATCTGCTAAACAGCAACAACTCTCTGGGGAAATAATGGATCATACATTCATTCTAAAATTGGCATAACTTGCAGATTTCTTTACTGAAATTAATTAGCTAAACCTCTCACTACAAGAAAATATGGTGAATATTCTCACAGCTCAAGACAAGGTGCTAGCTTCCTCAGTATGCTCCAGCTTTACTGACATAGGGCTGAAGCCGGTGATGTATTCACATGGTTAGAATTGACAACTCTGCTTGAGGCAACCAAACAGAAATTGTTCATTTGCTGCTGATGTCGTAAGGCACTTACTGTCAGTAACAGAATCCATCAGTGAATACTTTCCAGATATAGAACAGCATCACATGAATGCATGGATTGTGAAACTGTTTACAGTAGAAGAAAAAGTCATCGAAGACCTAGATATCAAGGCGAAAGCAGAATTCCTCGGTCTGTGAGAAGGTAACACATTGAAAGCAGATTTTCAGGATGCTGATCTGGCAACGTTTTGGCGAAGAGCTGGTTTAGAATGCCCAATTCTCTCTGACAGAGCTCTCAAACTCCTAATCCCATTTGCCACTACGTATCGCTGTGAGGTCAGCTTTTCTACAACAGTCAACGTTAAAAAGAAGGCAAGGAATAGATTAGATCTTAGTCATGACTTGAGATGTGCATTAGCCGTGACAAAACTTCGTATCTCTAAGCTAGTCAAGCAGAAGCAGTATCAACCTTCACACTGGGAAATTCATCTGAGAACTGCTGTTGGTCATGTGTTTTCATTTTCTGAATAACGAGCCTAATATACGAATACGTTTAAAATAGATAGTCAATTTTGTTCAACATAATGCACGAGAAAACAAAACACAATAAAAATGATGAACGTAATTTCCCTTTTGTCTATTGCCCTTTAAAAAAGGAGGAGGGGTAATTTTGGTTTATTGGTTAAACTTAAGGGATAACAGTGCCAAAGAGGTTAAGAACCACTGATCTCATCTCAGGTTTCCTTGCTGAAGATTAAGCCACTCCTTAGCCGGCCCTAGATGGGCATGGAGAACCACTAATCACTGTCCTCTTTCTAACAAGCTTGGACATATTTGAGGACTGATTTCATCCCCCTCTCTTCTCCCCCGGACTTCTCTTCTCTAGACTAAACACGCCCAGTTCTTTCCGCCTAGGTCAGGTTCTGTAAACTGCCCCCTCCACTTTGCAGCTCTCCGCTGGACTCTCTCCCACGTGTTTGCGTCTTTCTTAAAGTGTGTTGTCCAAAACAGGGCACCGCACTCCAGCTGGGACCTCACCAGCACTCAGTAGAGCGCAACTGTTAACGCTCCCGTCTCCTGTACAAGGCCTTTGACTTCCACAAAGCCCCTCCGACGACATGACCGTATAATGGGAGATTAGAATCTGTGCCAAAAACGGGACGTTGTCGGTTTACGATTATTTAGACCGGGGTGGGCAATTACTGGCCCATGCTGCTTCCTGCAGCTCCCATTGGCTGTGAATGACGATCCATGGCCAATGGGAGCTGCGATTGCCCGTGCCCGCAGAGGTGCAGGTAAACATGGAGGTGGCAACTCGCTGGGGCTAAGCTTGGCAAACTACCATCATTTTATTGTCCACCCCGACTTAAGACTACAACTACAGGAGCAAGGATATACCAGCATGCTGCTCTCCCAGGCTGTCTCTAGACTGCAGGGATTTTTCGAAAAAAGTAGTCTTTTTTCGAAAAAACTTCACCTGTGTCTAGACTACAGCCGCGTTCTTTCAAAATTAAATCGAAAGAACGCGGCTTTTCTTTCGGCGGTGGTACTCCTCATGTCACGGGGAATAATGCCTGGATGCTCTCTTTCAAAAAAGCAGCTTGCTTTTTCGAAAGTACTGGTTGCAGTCTAGACGCTCTTTTTCGAAAGAGGCTTACAGTCTAGACGTAGCCCCAGTGTGGACACAGCTATATTACTTTGTCGGAGTAAGTAAAACCGTTGTACTGGCAAACAGGCAGTAAGGCGGCTCTAACTGCATATACATTAGGGCTGTCTCTAGACTGGCCAGTTTTTCCGGAAAAATCAGCCGCTTTTCCGGAAAAACTTGCCAGCTGTCTACACTGGCTGCTTGAATTTCCGGAAAAGCACTGACTTCCTACTGTGCTTTTTGCGGAAATACTATGCTGCTTCCGTTCGGGCAAAAGTCCCTTTTGCGCAAAAGGGCCAGTGTAGACAGCTCAGATTTGTTTTGCGCAAAAAAGCCCCGATCGCGAAAATGGAGATCGGGGCTTTTTTGCACAAAAGCGCGTCTAGATTGGCCATGAACGCTTTTCCGCAAGAAGTGCTTTTGCGGAAAAGCGTCCGTGCCAATCTAGACGCTCTGTTCTGAAAATGCTTTTAACGAAAAACTTTTCCGTTAAAAGCATTTCCAGAAAATCATGCCAGTCTAGACGTAGCCTAGGGGTTTGTGCTGCACTGCTCTGTCAGGGATCGTACCCCGACACACGTTGCTCTGCCTGCAGACAGTTGTAGCGTAGACATGGCCAAAGTCCTGGTCTTCATACAGGTTCTGAGTCATGAATTTTAATCACCGTACTTCAGCGCCATGTGTGGATATAGTTATAACAGGATAAAAGGCACCTTACAGCAGTGTGGCTCATCCCACTCCCCGTTCACCGGACGATAGCCTAGTAAAAGAATATTTATGCTGGCATAACCGCATCCCCATGGGCGGGTTGATACAGGGATGTTAGAGAAATTTTTTTGCAGCTA